TCCATCATCATAGTCCTAACAAGATTGCACAATCCATCTCCACTTGAGCACTCCAGCCGGAATGGGCATCATAGGCACCCACGTCATGCTCAACAACCACCACTCATATCCCAATCAAACCAGTCCCTTCCCAACTGCCCAAATGGGCATCATAGGCACCCCAGTCCGACCTGTTCTATGTAGTGGAATCTTAATAAATTCTTGCTACTATAAAAAAAAGTCCTCCATTTTTTTTTTAATTTCTTTATAAAATGTTACCTGCTTTGGTGGCCTTCCAATTAAATTATGCTTGGCGGCGGCCAGCAGTGCCAAATTGCCAATTGCCAGTTTCGTATTTGGCGGCCTCAATATCTTAGGGAGATTAAAATCGGTATAAAGAAACCCGTAATATGCACATTTAAAAGAAGACCGATATGACACATCCTTGTTTTTTCTAATGCGACAAATAAGGTCCTACCTTAATTAAATTATCTTAGGAAGCAAAGTTACATATATTTCTGGACATTAATTACAATAGATGTTTATTTCCAATTCAACGTCCATTTACATTTGGGTTATATTTTTGTTACATTTTGCTTAGGAATATGTATGATATTCATTAAGATAAAAAGAACACGTACATGATAGATACTACATAAAGAATGGGATTAATTGAATCATGATGGGACTTTCAATCAGAGTTCAAAGAAATAGACCAACATTACATCAACTAACCCTTAACGATTCATAATCTTTACATTTTTTTTCACACCAATTTCCCTTTGGCTTACGACAGAAACAGAAGGGCTTTCATTTACTCACTTAAGCATGCTAGAATTCATTTTTCTACAAAAAGACTTTAATTAATTTTTAAAAAGTACTAGTTTTCTATTGTTAAAATAAAGTACTTGATTATTGTGCTTGCTATTGTTGCCTTCCTTTACCCACAAAAAAAAAAAATCACAAATTAATCTCAACACCAAATGAATACGAATATAAAAGAATGTATATATAATCAATATAACTCAACAATCCGAAAGGCATTACAAACTACAAAGTACAGGATCCAAAAGCTAAAAACAAAAAAAACAAGAACTATATAAAAAAAAAACACAAAAACAAAAGAGAGAGACTCAATAAAGTCCTCCCAGGAAAAATAAATATATCACAATGAACGAAACTAACCAAACCAAAACCACATAAATTTTTGATCACTTGCACTTCAAATCCTGGATAGCACGGTTGGTCAAATTAAGTGACATGCTGCAGCTCATTTTGCCAGACTTGTTCTTCTTGATAATCTTCATCAATTCAACCTTTCCCTTCAAGGTAGCCTCACTAGTCAGAGGCACAACGCCTGAGTTGATGTCACTGCCAAGGTTTGTGGATCCTGAAAGCTTGTCGGTGTTAATGCTAATGATAACACCGGTTCTCCGAGTCGATCGAGCTTTGGCTTTTCCCTGAGGAATATCAGCAGTACCAATTGCCTGTCCACTGTAGTAGATTGTGACAGTGCTGTTTTGATATTTGAAATGACCGAAGTTTGTGTTCTTCACTGCAATTTCAGTTACCAAATTCAAACTCAAAGATGGATCAGAGTTGGAGCCTGTGGAGCTGAAATTATCTGCAGTAATTGTGACAAATCTGACTTTTGGACCCTTGACTTTCATCACGGTAAGTGCAAAGGCTGTGATAACTATGATCTGAAACACAATGAAAATAGCAACATATGCTAGGCACTTCTTGTTCTTCCCGTCTCCTTTCATTGTGTATGAAAAAAATGGATGATGATTGTTTTTTTTGTGTTTGTAATAAAGGAAACCCTGGTTTTTCTTTGCTCTTGGTTTGGTACGTATCAAAGAATTGTAAAAGGCTCTAAGGAGTTGAATGAGTAGAATGACTTGAAATCACAGAGCTGCAGTATTTATAAATTCTTGTGGTGTCAGATACGATAAAATGTTTAAGAAATTCAAGTGGAGACGTAGGATTTTTATTGTATTAATTGCTTACTATCTTTGATTTTTTCTTTGTTGATATTTCAAAACGTGTTTGGAAGACTTTCGAGTATCTGACCAACAGTGTACAAGCCTACAATTTCACTGAAGCTTCTGTGAAATATCTCAACCGTTAAACCTATCAATTTTTCTTTTTGTTCTTCTAGATGAAAGAATTTGCGGATACGTAAAGTCTATTCCTCATTTGCAGCAAATTTCTAAAACAAACATGTGGACAACATAAATAGGGTAACGTGACGCGCGTGTGGTCGTTGGATTTCACATGTTAGACAACCTAATTAATCTGATAGGATGAAGAAAGCTAGAGTTTCATCATAAAATTAATTGACAACATGTAAAGTATCCAAACTATATATATAAGCACATATAAAGCCCTTTATGTCATCAATATGAAATTCATTCTCAACATTCTAGGACTATCATGTTCTTTTCAATAGAGTAGTGTCGTGAGAATCCAAGAATTTTGTGGTATCAAACATTGCCTTACTATCCCTTTAGTTTTAACTATTTATCCTATCAATGAAAGGTAATTTCTCGATTTATAGGATTGCTTATTGTACATTAAAATGGACCAATTATTGTAAATTTCTTTTTAATTTAGTCGTGTTGAGTGAAATCATAATTACCAACATAACTTTAGTCTTATAATGTAAATTGATAAGGGCGATGTTAGGGATAAAAACTTTACAAATTAAATGATGTGTTACTAATAAGAACAAGTACGTTCATTAACGTTTAAGTAATAAACTAAGAGAATTGTTATTAGCACTCCAAAAATATCATTCTACACTCCAAACTTTCTATATTAGGAAAGAAAAATACACTTTTGAGGAGTGTAGAATGAGATTTTTAGAGTGCCAATAACAATTCCCTAAACTAATCATCAACTTTTATATCTTTTAATTTTCAAAATTGTGTCTACAAATCTAATCTATTTAACATTACCTAATCGATAATTAACAACATGAAGTTAACATGAAGTCATTTCGAATTATTTTTAGGCCTATAACTTTTCAACCAAATTGGTTGAAGATGGCCTTACGTGCCCTTTTTTATCCTAAGTTTCAGTCTTTGAGAGAGTGACTAGTCGTGGATTTAAAAATGATAGAGTTTAATATTTGTCAAGTGGGGGCATTTCTCACGTAAAGATTAGATACTACCCATTCTTGTCTTCTGGAAGAGAAAGACACCTTCACAGTAATACAGTTAACGACTTTAACGTGTGGCGTGCCTAATTACAAGATACATAATCTTCTTTTATAAATAAAGGCGACTGACTCACCAACTCAAGGCTGTCATGGTGGAAATGTCCGTGTGAGACCCACTTCATGGACAAAAAACCGGGGGTTGCGCCTATCAACACACACACTTATATATATATATATATATATTATGAAGCAGCAGCCTTTATAGACTCAACACAAAGTTAATTTGGAGACTGTATAGTACGGATTGTAGGGTCCACTTGTTGAGTTGAATTGCATTTGTGCTGCTTGCTAACTATACAAACAACAAAGGAACCTCTCATGATCCTGACGGTATAAACCCTAAATTAGAGCATCATTACTAACTACGCACATCAAAAGTAACCTTTCGTACTCCTTATAGTATAAACCTTAAATTAGAGGGATTTCCACAATTACGAAATTTGAGGACTCATTTCGGTGATCTTCAATTGAAGGAGGGCTAGAGGGCTCGTTTTAGTCCTATAGCCCTCCAAGAAATTACTATTTTAATGAACAGTATCAGGTCATATTTCTTACCATCTCCAATCGAGAGGGCAGAGAGTCATATGCTAAACATAGCCTTGTGACAAAAAATCATCTCCAACCGAGAGGGCCAAAGGGCCGTAGGCCAAACATAATTTATTATTTTAATTTAAAAACTACAACTTAAATTTAAAGTCTATAATCATCATCATCATCCGTGATTGTAGAATTATAGTCAGAGGTAAACAACTCCCGTCGGGCCATAATATCCCTCTTTTTCCTATCAAAATAGGCCTTACTCATTGGAGTGTAATCCAAAGTGTTCCTTTGCATATTGTTGTCATCCATCTCTTCTTATATTTGTTTGGCCCGTTCTTCGTACCTACGGTTCTTTTCTTCCATGACAATGGCATTTTGCTCCGCCATTAATCGCAAAGAGGCCACCATTTCCTGTTGAAATGTGTAATCATCCTTTGCCTTGCCCTTTTCCTTCAATTTTCTACCCTTGTTTCTTGAATCGTAGGAGATCCATCTTCATCCCCATCTACAGTTGAGGATACATTTCCGAACACCAGTGTAGGACCAACTCTTTGTTGAGGTGGATCTTCAAATAACATCCACCCTTTACAAATTTCCCAAAACCATGATGATTAAAGGGTTTTAAGTTGTCCTCCATATACAATTCCTTCGCTTGACATACCTAGAAAATATAATTGCAAAAAGTAAAGGAAATTAATTTATGAAATTAAATGCAATATAATTAAATATTTAAAATAAATTGTGAAAACACTTACTTCGTCGTAGTAAATGGCGATATTTTCATGTCTGCTGACGGCCTGTAACAGTGCTTGATGCCATTTATTCAAACTTGGATGAAGATGTTTCTTCCATCTTGAAGAACTACTCTCGTTGTTTCAGGTATTCGGTGGAGTGGTGCTTTTGTAGAACTCATAGTATTTTTTGGACGTACGAGTCCCAACACCTTCATTTGTTTGAGAACTCCCCCTCACACTATCTTCCGGGACCTATCTATAAGCCCTGCAAAGAGCTTCATGTTCTTTTCGAGTCCAAGCCCTAACTTACATTGCAAATGTGGCCATTTGAAAATTATTGAAAAAATTGAAGAAAGATTATTGGAAGAGGTAAGAGAATAGAATGCGAAGAATTTAAATAAAATGAAGTAAGATAGTATGGAATGGTGAAAATTATATGAAAAATGATGTAGGAATGACTTAGGTACTTATAGGAAAAAAAAATGGGAATTTTTTTAAATTTTTTTTAAAAAAAAAATTTCAAGAAAAAAAAAAATTCAAGAAAAAAAAAAATTCAAATCTAATGGTCATGGCTAGCTGGCGTCATGTTGACACCAAGTAGCTGTTGGATTCAAATGCTTGGGCTAGCCCTGGGCTTGTTGGCTGGCTCATTTGGGCCAATTGGTTGGCCAGTTTTCCCTCTTTTGGCCCGTTGGGGCCCACGAGCCATTTGGCCTAATCCATGGTTGGAAACGGTTTTTGTGTCATTTCAAGCTATTTTTGGCCCTCTGGCCGAATCGATTGGAGATGGCCTTAAAGAGGCTTATTGACACACCCTGACCGAAATCTAGGCATGTTGGCCGTCACATGAGGGTGACGTAACCATGTGCACAGTGCGGAAGCTAAGAATAATAATAAAAGTACGAACAAATAAAAATCAAACTACACACAGAGTAGTTAACATACATGTGTAAGCGTAAGTGTGAAAAACAATATTCAGAGCACAGAAAACCTAGTCCAGTCCAGAGGAACAAATACTAACTAAACACACCTAGAGGGGGTCCTACACTGGTGATAATCTGTCAGATATGTCGTGAATTCCTCGAGAGCTAGCAAAAGAGCAAACCAAACTAGAACCTGGAGGGGCGCAAAACAGAAAGTGTGAGTGGGCAAAACAAAGCTTTTTAAAATCATTTAATTATCAAAAGTTCTAACCCCTCACCGTAAAACCTGTATAGTTTCCCAGAAAATAGAATATACACATATAAAGAAAACATGCTCAAAAATATGCCATGTCGAATGTCTCCATAAAAATGTAAGTAACCCAGGTAATGCCAAACAATGCAAATAACATGTCAGCCAGAGTCACCTAACGTGACCAGTACGGCTGAATCTAAAGCTCAAATCTCCAACTCACTAACTATACCTGCACACGAGTCGGAACTACCTAAAGTGGTCTGTACGACAAGACTGGGTGTAAATAAATACGCTCAAGTGCTATGATCACATGAAGACTGGGCAAATAATCGCGGGTCACCTACGAGTCAGAACCACCTAAAGTCATCTGTACGACAAAACTGTGCACCTAACTTGGATCCAAGATGAGCATGTGGTGTAGGAGGTGAACATCACGTGAAGGACTGTGCCTTACTTTAGGCGGGAGCACTAACACCGGGGGTGCAGGTTATGAGCTATCTACATAGCTCACATAACTACAAATCATCATCATAAACTATAACTTACTTGGCACTTACATGTGCTTCCGCAGCACCAAACATACATATATGCAACTACTAATGCATAAATAAATAGGCAAACGCAATGTACGGCATTTAAAACATATAAACATTCCATATCATTTTTTGGGAAAAACCACAGTATATAGGTATATACGGAAAACCAAAAGCCCACTCACTGGTATGTGGAAGAGCCGTAACCCCCTTGTCTCGAGTGACTACGCTCGTTCTCGGGATAATTTCACCTATATGCGAAACAACACTTTCAAGCCCTGAAATTCACGAAATCTCGCCAGAGAAACTTCACAAAATCCGGCCAAACCTGCAACTCACGATCCCGACGTCCAAATCCTTCCAACGAACCAACCCGAGCTTCCTAAGGATCTCACTAAGCTTCCTACAAGCTTCAAATTCCCTGAAATGGTTATGGTTGAACTTGTATGATCCTCACGAACACAAAGATATAGTTTTCCACCTCGATCTACAACGTTTTCACAGGTTTTGGTACTTGTTCGTGCGAAGAAGAAGAAGAGGGAGAGAGAGACACACACACGGGACAGGGAAAGTATACGGGAAGAGATAAGGATGAGAGTGTGTGTGTGGTCCAGATGCAACCAACAAGCCCACAAAACAAACACCAAAACGAAACATAACCACTAGGTCCAAAATTATCATTTCACACCTACGGTACGAATAATTTGGGACGAGCTATCACACTTATAGTATAAACTCTAAATTCGAGATTTATATAATTTTATGTGATAATTTCATAGAAGGTTTTTCTTTTTTTTTTTTTTTAACATTTTAAGTTAATTTAACTTCATGTTATTGTAATTTTTTTTTTTTTGTAAAAATTTCTACAAAAAATAAAGGAAAACTAATGAAAAATGGCTTCAAATTTTAACATTTTAATAAAAAAAAAAAACCATCCACTAACTTTATTTAATGATAGGACAAAAGAATAAAAATTACAAAAAAATAAAAAAATAAAGAACCCAACTTGCGCTTAGCGCGTCCCCCATATAAACTTATACAACAAATCCTTCATGTTTTTGCTTGTTGCACGCACTGTGGAAACTCAGATACCAATTACTTTGGAGTTGGTCAAAGCCCATGCCTTGCATAAACACCACCCTCACCCACCCCCCTCCCCTTTCACTCTCCATTTTTTTCTCCCATTGTCAGTTACATTAATAGATTTTTATTTTTTTTTATTTTTTTGCTTAGAATAAGAAAATGACTTCAAATTGAATTGCATTCTCCAGTTTTATTTTTGTGGGGTTGTTTTCCAATAGTAGTCAAGAGGACAAGAGATTTTTCAATATGCCCGAAACATGGGATGGTACACCACGTGTCTCTATACAAGTGGTGAGATTCTTGTGTTAAAAAATTAATAACATAAAAAATAAAATTTCCCACTACTTATATAATGACATGTGGTGTACCGCTTGTGTTACAAGCAGAAGGAAAAATTTCCCACAACTTAAATAGTATCCAGTATTTTAATTTGGTAATTGAAAAATAGCTCTTTAAATATAATTACTGAGAACATAATCTTCTCGAGGATTTGATTTAAAGGATCACTTATGGGTTCATCGTTTTTGGTGCAATGGTTGCTTTTACAGGACCAAACAGGGTCTAAGTTTCAAACCTTAGGAAACTGAATCAAGAATTAGACACTATTTATAAAACTTGACCAATAAGTAGACACTATTTACGAAATTGGACCAATAAATTAAATGGATACTATTTATGAAACTGGACCAATAAGTAGACACTATTTATGAAACGAAACCAAGAATTATGCACTATTTCTAAAACTAAACCAATAGGTGGAAACTATTTATGAAACTGGACAAAGAACTAGACATTATTTATGAAACATGACCAAGAACTAGGCATTAGTTATGAAAGTAGACCAATAACTATACACTATTTATGAAACCGGACCAAGAAAGGGACACTATTTATGAAAATGTACCATTACCATACACTATTTATGAAACTAGACCCAATAACTAGGCATTATTTATGAAACATGACCAAGAATTAGGCATTATTTATGAAAGTAGACCAAGAACTATGAACATTTATGAAACTGGACCAATAAATAGTGTAGCGTCGTTTTCATAAATAGTGTTCAGTTTCATAAACAGTGACTCTGAAGGATGCACAGGGTCCTACGCATTAGGTATTTTTTTTAAATTTTGTTTTTATATTAAAATTGTGTCATTTTCATTAAAATTTAAGTTCTTTTGTCTTTTTTTTTTAATTAAAATTTAAGGGTTTTTCATTAATTTTAATTCTTTTTCATTAAATAAAGTTATAGCATTGTTTTTGGTTAAAATAAACTTAGCCCAAGCCCTTTTCACGAAAGTTTCCAAAAAATAATTCAAATTCCGACACCAACATTTTTTCCTTACTAAAGTTGGTGGGATGAAGCTCCACCATTGAATTCTAATGGTAGCTTTCAAAGTTTAATTCAAATAGTTGATCTTCAACGTTAAAAATGTGAAAAAACACCACAATACGTCTATATCGTTGAATGAAGCACATCAGCATAAATATATAATAAAGCAGCATTTGCTGCGAGACACAAGACTACAGTTACGTCAACATTTATCTGGCCAGTAATGTAGCATTCTACATGTGGATGGAGTAATGTAACAACTGCAAAGCAGCAAGCACGTAGGTGGGATGAGTTTTCCACTCACAATGCCTATTAAGCTCCACCAAATCCATCTAGGTGTTGTCCCTTATGTAAGGACTTGCCTCATGTATTTGGTAAGTCCTTATACTTTAAGAGCTTAGTTTCAGGTGCATTTGAAGGCCTTATTCCTCATTTTTAAAGTCTGTAAGGTGGTGATGATAGCTTTGAGGATAAGCATTGTAGATGCTTTTAGTCTTTCCATTTACAATTAATCATCATCATATCACTTCAACTTAATCGGTTAGTTATATGAATCACTACTTTAGTGAAAGCATAAGTATTGATGAAGGATTTTTAAAATCTTTTTAGGGCCGAGTGTGGGACCATGATTTTCTAGGGTCGGAGTAAGAAGGATCGTTACCTCAAAATTTCGGTCACTGACTCAACAATTCCAATCAGATTGAGTTGCTTAAGTAGACCACGATGCCACCACATCTTACTGTGCTCCGGAAAGGTAGGCAAAGTCCACCGACTTTACTAAGCTTGACCATTCTTATTGCAAGATACGGAAACATGATCCGGTTAAGGTCAAATGAATTTCCTATATTCTTGAAGATTCCTACAATCTAGGGATTGGCATGCAACGTAAGAGGAAACAATATATATTCCTAGATATCCTATTGGATTATCCAGTTTAATACATATTCCATATTTTAAAAGGTCTTTCTCCGGACTAGTATAAATACCCTTGTTTAAGGCTTAACACTGGTAACAATCCTGTAACGCATAGTTATTCTTGCTCACTACTTGAGTATCAATATTGTTGACCAACTTAACCTTCGGAGAACGTTTGACTAGTATCCCACTAGTGCGCAAATTTGGTTCCAACAATTGGTGTTTTTCATTGAGATGTGAACTCATAGTCCTTTTACCAAATCAGTCTACTACACCATGTCTACTGAAGATAACTCTGTGAACGTTGACACCAACACATAGGGTGAAAGCAATCAACTCCCAAATGCCTTTGTCGCTCCGGGTAACAGTGACGCTCCTACTGGTGAAGTTCCCTGCACCATAGACCATATATGGGAAACCTTGTTAAGGATCACTACTTATGTCAACGATCTACAACCTCTCAAGCTTCTCAGGCTAAGAATCGTTCAAACTTTGTCGACTTCGAAAGGCACATGAAAGCCACAAAGTTTCTCCAAAAATAAGAGCTTGCCAACTCTATGGTCATTCCCAATCCCCTGGCTAGTCCTCCAATTTTACTTTCTTTAAATAAGGTGAGGGTCTAAGGCATAACTTAAGATGTTGTTTATGATAATCCGCTCATGCCCCGCCCTCTCTAAAGAATACTCACGGAACTACTATGCAAACTTAAGTCCCTATCTTTGGTTTTGGAAGCTTGAATTCCATCACCCTTGATGGACAGCTGATTGTACCAATGCCTGTTTTTACCCCGGCAACACTGCTAATTTGAACTCGCAAGTGGAACAACATGATGGCCGGAGTGTCAGTCGTACTATTTCATGCAGGATCAGAGTTTAGCGTAACTTCGACCCCTTACACTACGATAGCTTTCTACTTGGAACCTAGGCCCCTCGAATTTGACGATCGGATTCATCTGAAGAGTAAAGATGGTGCATGCCACTAAACCATGGTAACCTTAGGAATGCTCAGAGGGACGCTCGGAATCAACTCTCTAGCAAAGTTGTCAACAAGGCCAGAGGCCCTATTTCTTCAACCATGGAATATGCACCTTATCCGAAAAAGTTTACTGAGCCCAGGTTAAAATACTTTTATGGAGAATCAGATTGAAACTACTACATCATGGATTACAGGAATGCTAAGAGTTGTATAACAACAATGATGTATGCTTTGGCAGAATGGTTTGACATAGTCAATGACATTACTGGCAGGGGTGACAGAGCTTAAAGGATGAACTTTGACTTGGATCAAGACATGAGGTTCAATCGGAAAAGGGATGGACATGATACTCCGCCTCATTCTCCATGTTAGAATGACTAGAGAGGGTGCAAAGACAAGCCAGCTTCATCTACCAAAGCATTATGCTACCTTGAATACTACAATCAACAAAGTCTTCCACAACATTAAGGATAAACCTTTCCTTAAAAGGCCCAAACCTCTTCCTAATCATCTAGCTAAGAAGACGCTAAATGAATACTGCTCTTTCCACCAGTGCCACGACCACACTCTTTAGAATTGCAGTACGTTCCATGATCATATCCATGATCTACTTGATCAGGAATATTGCTAGGTTGCTGGGAATTTGTGAATGACAAAGCCAACAAAGGGAAACCTAATGAAAAGAAAGGTCAAGGTAAGTCCAAGCAGTATCAACTCATGGACAAGGAGGAAGACCGGCGACCAGCTAAAAAGTCAATCCTCAGCATCAATTTTATATGGGGAGTAAGAGCATTTGGGCAATGCCAAAGCACGTGAAAGCAAAGGAACCTACAACTTCGCACACACGGGTAGAGCTCCGATCACCAAAAGGTAGAATATCCCCAAGTCCAGATGTATTTCTAAAAATATGCAGTGGACTAGACGTGGTTTGATTCTTCGTTGACATGAGAAGTTATGCAGGTCATCAACCATAGATTCAACGCCCGTCTATGCGTAGCCATGGAGAAGTATCTCCAAAGCTTGCCTATGTCAAGGCACTTTCATCAAGATGAACCCTAATGTAAACACACATTGCATCATATTTTCTTAGAACTATGTTTGAGATTTGATTCTCCAAGTTTGGAGATTAGGCAGTCTAAGACAGATGCAATCACACCCCTTTCCCCCATCAAACCCCTATTCTTTTATAATAAGAATGTAGTTTGAATATCGCATGACTATTGTTTGTTATTTCCTTTCCTTTTTTCTTTTTTATAGTACAAGGAATACCCAACATCCCATATATCACATTGCTTTGAAAACTATACAAAGGTGCAAGTCTAAAAAATTTAAAAGTGTTTGTGTTAGGGGAGTCTCCTATAGCCCATTTCGTGGTGTTCATGTTAGCAACTTATGAGGCTCGAGCCGTATTAAGCGCTATTACGCTTAGGAGGACAACAAACATTAGGACATGACCCTGTTGTTCGGCAACTTCCAGTGCACCATCCAACTTCTGGAAAATTTATGCAATCTAAGGGTTGTGGGTTACACACTCAAACCTGGGCTTTGCACCTTACTGGGAATAATCGAAAGAGCGATCCGAAAATCACCCGAGTAGTGGCTCTGAACTTTGACCCCGGAATACAATTACTTCTAAATGCATGATTTCTGATAAAAGTAGTATTTTTTTTCATGACAATAGTTCCCGATTAATGTATCACATGAACATATCTATGTTCGATAATTATAGTTCAATATGTGACCAGTTAGACAGGTACCATGTAAATCACCTTAATATGTTAAGGTGAGCTTATAAGTATACAATTCTTGCGTATGTCGTGATCATAGAAAAATCAATTATCAATTTCCAGAATCATGCAACTTTTAGCTATGAGTTACGAGAGCTGTCTCAATACCTCCCGAAGTCAATCGGGGTGTTGAAAGTCCATAGCCCATTTAAATTAGGTTGAGCTAGAATTAAGCCTGTAAACTCGAAGCCCATTAAAGATTTTTTGTTTTCTTCTTTTTTCCTGGTTTTTTGAGTTGGCGTGGAGTGGGGGTAGGTTATATCATATCTCATGTCATTACAAAATTTTGCTAGTAACTCCAATCTCCATATTGATTGTGTTATATTTGAAATGACTCTCATATTTTGTGAACGATATAAGTTTAGATTTGGAATCCTTAATTCTGAATTAAACTTTCCGCTCATAAATTTCATAGAGATCCCAAGGTTTAATATGTGAATATTATTATATGGAGCGTAGTTTCATAAAGAAAAGACATCCCAACCTTTACATTATAAGTTATTGTGTTGTCCCAAAGCTAAAGACTATGGCATCCAAAAAAGAATGAAGACTTCAATGGTTTAGCAAATAATCATATAAAATTAATTATAACGACCAAAGTGAATGAGATTGATAGAGATTAAAATTAATTATAATTTGGTACTTTACACTGGATGCCAAAATCTTCTAAAAGACATTTTCATATTATGTTTTTTTTTTTTTCCTACCCATGCATTCCAAGTTCGAAACTCCCATCTACTGTAATAGTTTCGAACCATCTCCTCTCTCCTTAGTAATAATAAAAAATTTAAATAAAAAAAATGTTTCTTTCATATGGATTGACCATAACGAAAAAAAAAACCCATGAAATATGATCCCTATTTACAGGCAAAATTCCATTACTGTAAGTAACCTTAAAAATAACTACACTGCATTTGCATGAGGTACAGATTGCTACAGAAACTCACTCCACCCCACAAAATAGATCGGCCCAAAGTCCACCCCAGTCTCTAGGCCGTCTCAGAATGGGCTGAGTGAGGAACCGGACTATCTGACATCAGCATGACGTCAGCCATGGCTGATTTCTTTTGTTAGAATCTCACCGTGGGCCACATGTCCACTTTTTGGGCTATTGAATTTCAACATTTTTGAAATCCAACGGTCCAGATTAATTAACTTAATAAAAAATGTTTAAAAATACAAAAAAAAAATTAAACGATTTTTCATTTATATAAATACCTAATCATCTTCTACAAAAATTGTACTTTCGGAAAATGACATGTGGCGTGACAAGATTGGTTAAAAATTCTATCCAAAATTAAAAATAAAATTATTTTTTATTATTTCATAAAAAATTAGTAATATTTTAATACGAGTTGACTAGACTTTAGGCCAACTTATTTTTTAGTGATGGAAATGCACTTGACCAATTACTGTTCAATCAAGTCAATTACTATTCATTTGGATGGATTTAATGAACTTTGAGCCAACTCATTTTTTAGGAGTGGACTTACTCTTATTCATGCCTGTTTATTAACAGCCCAAAGTCGACACCGGAGTTATGTCGATCTTCATAGGTGCGTGGTGACATTCAACGTTGGATAGCATGCTTGTCACGTCCTGGACTTGGAATTAGTGACAAAACTCAAATTCGGAATGTGAGCTAAAATTAAATACGTATTATACAAAGAATGCGAAAATAAAAACTATTATTATTTTTACAACAATTTAATATATATATATATATATATATATTTATATATATTCATTTAAGTATTGTTACTTGTCAAGCTTGAACTACCGAGCTTTGATGAGCCAAATCCGGTGCGATCTTAAACTGTTTTGAGCCAATTTATAGCTCTAGCAATCAGTTACCATGAAATCCCCTGAATATGTTGAGTTAAAAATGATTTTCGTCGATTAAAGTTTGTATTCGTTCTATTTTACAAATTCTTTAGTTTTTTTTTTTTTTGTTTTTTTTCTTTCTTATAAGCATACAATTCTTGTGTTTGTTGTGATCATAGAAAAATCAATATCCACACTCATGCAACTTTTAGCCAATGTTTTTTTATTAGCACCTCACATATTATTTAGGTCACGTAAGATTTTAAAAAGAAAGCTATTTTTTGAATACACGCTAAATTAGTTTTAATGTGTATTTCAAAATTGTTTTACTTCAAGCTCTCAAAATCACTCTCACAACCATGCCATATGAAAATCTCCAAATTAATAAGATCAATATACAATGTAAACATGATTGCATAATGAACTATCAAAGATGTCCAGAACAAACTAAAAATTTCTTATTATATCTCATGTCATTGCAAAATTTTGCTAGTAAACTCCAATTTGCATATTGATTGTGTTATATTTTGAATGACTCATATCTTGTGAACTATAAAAAGTTTAGATTTGGAATCTCAATTTCTGAATTAAAACTTTTACTCATGAATTTCTTAGAAAATACACTTATGTTGGTAACATAATTTCATAGAGAAAAGAGATTCCATATTATGTTTCTTTCATATGGATTGACCACAATGAAAAAAAAAGTATGATCCCCATTTACAGGCAAAATTTTATTACTGCAAAGTAACCTGAAAAGTAACTACAATGCATCTGCAAGTGGTCTTTCAGCCTGCATGGCAACTGCATCATCCACATATTCTAAAAGGATATTATCTGTGCCCACTTCACAAATGGAGGAGATCAATCACTCCAACAGAGAAAGCCATCTCACTCCTCCACCTCCATAGTCCACGGAAAGAACCTTCTTCTGTTAACTTTTCCTTTTTCCAATCTGTTTTCTTCCATTAACCCCCCATCCAAGTCAAATCATTACCAATTTGGTAAACTTCTCCATTGAAGCTGTATCGCACTTTAGCTTTACTAGGTCCCCAACAATGGCATTTGAGATCACCTTGTACATCTTACCACCTATCATATCTTTCCATGTGTACAAAAGCAGGATGAAAGCAGCAATCAAAATTTTCGTAGTCCTCTCACTAACGAGAATATTTTTTTTTCTGGTTGTGGTTCTTTACATTATTTTATATGGCTAAATACTAGGTAGAGAATATTTGTATAAGTATATATGTATGCACTTCAAATTTCTTTTTATTTCTTTTTTCTAGCCAAGACTGTACAAAATTCATTTTCTTATTTATATTGATTTAAGATTATTGCAAAATTTCTTACTCAGTAAGGAAGGAAGGTATTAGGAAGGGATATGGATTTGAATGGAGAAGCTAAAAGGCATGGTAGTTATATATAAGTATTTCCCCAGAGTGTTCTAAAAGTGTTCCTTGTGGAATTCGAACTTGGTTGAACCTTTTTGATTGAAGTCATAGCAAAGCTGGCTGAGTTCTTTTGCCAAAACTGGTGCTCCACAATAGAATACCCCTAATCCAATATTTGAACACGGTTAATTAGTAAAAGAATTAGGAGAAAGCAAGCAAATTCTGCTTATGTTTTATAGGGTTAAGAATATTGACTTACCTATCCTTGCATTAGAGTGTTTGGAGGAAGTTTTTGAGAAAACTTTCTTCCAATTAGGCCTTGCAAAATGGGTCCGCACCTAATTATATAAGAATGAAGAATAATAAGTAAGGTTATTGTCACGACGATGACCCAGGAAAGTGCTCGCCACCTCGACGCTATACCCAAAAAGGACTAATGATGGGGTGCCACGGATATAACTAGCTAGTATCTTATTTATGAAATGAAAACAGAACCACAATGGACCATTTATCCACTCAGTTTTGGCGACTTAACAACATCCCAAGTGAATCATATTCATATGTAATGCAAAAGTTCCCAAGTTTATGTCATGGGAAGAAAAAGAAAATGACAAATTAAGGCATTGGTTGCAGTTTCGATGCCACAAAAATCTGTGGTGGAAAGAGCAATGCTTGAAAGGCCAGCATGCATGAGATGCTATAGAATAAAAGAGATCAAATATCTTACCCTTGTGCCAGACACAATGTCCACCCCATTCTTAGCATGGTTGAGAGCTTGAACCATGGTGATGAGTGTTGATCGAGCATCACCTTCCTCGTACACACTAGTCAAGTAGTTGTGCATCTCAATGACACCCTAAAAGTAAATAACAAATCATGACAATGTTATAAGTAACTTAATTATGGTCATCTATCTATATACCAAAGCAATTTCACGGAACATGTCTAATTACCCTTTGATCAAGCTCTGCAACTTCATTCATCACTCCTTTGAACCAATCAAATGAGCCTTGCTCCCTTGTTACCCAATAAAAGTAGGCATTAGTGGTCTTCAGTGGCTTTTTTCGTTTTGGATAAACCTTGTTGGGATTGGGAGAATCTATACTCCCAGAACTTAGTTCTGATGTTCTAATGAAATCTGAAACAGAATCCTGAAGAGAAGAAAGCAAATTTGTGAGTTCTCATTGATGCAAAGGATTTGGTGATCAAGAGACACAGATTTAGATGATAACACTGGGATAGTGAAATAGCAGTCACAATAAGCAGAATGGGTGCACAAGTTATACATGTACTTACTGCCTGCTCTTCCATCTTGACAATATTGTTGAGCAGATCTTTTAAAATACTGATGAATGGCGTTGCACCGATTCCAAGTCCAACAAGCAGCAGGACATCATAATTCCGGTAGTCTTGGGCTGAGGCACCATAAGGCCCATCTATTAAAAGCTTGGGCAAACTGGTGCCCAGAAAATTGTGTTTAGATATCATACTAAAATTGAGAGCAAAATACTAATAATATCATGATATACACCTTGTCTTGGTTGTCTCATCAGCCCTTAGAAGACCACTCTTCCCAGCTAAGGAAGGCTCACAAGCTTCTGAGAAAACCCTCTTAAGCTCTTGCGTCCAGTCACCAAGCTGACGAATGTGAACACTAAGGTAGTCATCACCGGGAGCAGATGTAATCGAAAATGGATGCCTGACATACATATTTTAACAAATTCACACTCAGAATGAGCAAATCAGAAACAACATCCATACAATAATTATAGGCAGGGGACTAAAATTGAGTATTTTTCATAAATGGGAATCACCATGGTGACTTACCACTCAAACGGAGAAACTGCTGGGCACTGTACAAACATGTACTGTCCACTCTTGTACTTAAACTGTTGTGGCTTCGACATTTGCAATGTGAGAACGTTTCCAGGATAAATAGCAACCTACAAGTTCAGGATTAATGTCTAATCAAATAAGTCATTAGGTTGCAATTTACTATCAAAGAAGACTATATAAATTCTAGTTTTCTAACAACAGAAGTTGCGTATTAATGCCCTTTATATGATCACCTTCAGAAGACGGACGGTATAGAAGCCAGACCGGAAGATTCTCAAGATTCTTTCTCCAGCATATAGTAAAACAGGAACAGAAAGATACATCCAAGTCTGAAAAACATGAATATAACATTCTTTATTAAGCAACTTAGACATTATTAGCAACCCTACTTAATTGAAGATATATTTCTAATCAATCGAAGGATCTCAAATGATTACCGTCTTTAGGTACCACGTGTGCACGAGATAGAGGAAAACGCCATGGATAATGAGCAAGACGTAGACAATAACAAACAAGTGATGTGAATACCAGAAGGCATTGAAGCCAGTGAGCCTATTGAAGGGCTTGGGAAGCTTAACGAGGTTACGCCTGAACCACCGTGTAGCGAGTGTGAAAGCAATAATCATGCATATCAACATAATAATTCCAGTCAGCCCCTCTGGCCCTTTAATCAAATCTAGATAGCTGGGTTTATGCTTTCCAAAGTCGTGAAGCAAATACTTCTTGTAGACTGATTCGGAAACCTTTATAAGCCTCGGAAAATCACAAGCGAGATGGTTCCCAGCATGGAGAATGACACCAACTACAATGGCCGCAGCAATTGTCTGCAAAGGTTATCAAAGGAATGCACATTTCCGACGGATGTCACATATTATCATCCATCTCATATCACGAATTGAGTTTAATTAGTCAGGGATTTAGGTAACAAGATTAATCAAAAAATTCAGGACCTCCACAAACCAAGGACACTTTCATTCTCGCTGTTAAACAGTCTCACTTTGATGCGTCATGTTTTTATACATGAAAAAAATATCTATCACAATAAGACACATTGCATTTACGATTATATTGTAGAGAACCAAACTGCAGAGGAAATCATCCGCAATTACCTAAACCAGAATATATTCCAGTGAGTTTGCCTCGCCTAAACCCTACACTTGAACTATATTGACATAAAAAAAATTAAAAATAAAATTAATTTATTACTTCTAAAAATTAATTTAATACTTCTACTATAATAGTTTTGGCACCTCATAGGACGGTTACAATATCACCAATAGATAGATTTAGGTGACCATTTCGGATCCTGAACAAGTGATGATATTTGCACAACCGGCCGTATTAATAATACTTATAGCACATGATATTTCGATTGGATCATCTCCGGATCCCCTCACTAGGGATCTTGGTGATCAATGCATAAGGATCGTTTATCAAAGATCGTGCGGTCACAATTAAATGCTTTTTATATTTCTAAAAAGTAAAACAATCTCGTTTTACGTGAAAAACATTTAATTGTGACCGCACGATCTTTGATGAACGATCCTTATGCATTGATCCTCGAGATCGCCAATGAGGGGATCCAGAGAGGATCCAAATCCATAGTTTCTGGATGAAGCTAGTGTTTTCCAATGGCTAATTTGAGATTGAGGTGCTTTAAAAAAAAAACACAGCTTATTAAAAAAAATCTAGAAAACCAAATATGTTTGGTAAAACAAAAAAAAAAAAAGTGTTTTTTTAAAAGAATTACTGTCAATGACGATACAAAGCATAGAAAAACAGAAGTAGGGTCTACCATGCTTCTAAAAAAGGATTTTTTTTCTTTTTCAAAGCATAGTGAATAACATCCATTCAATGAAATTTTCAAATTGCAAGTACACCCCTGCATATTTTACAAAATTACAATTTTTGCCCCTGCATTATTCTCTTTAACAATTATTATATCACATTAAATACCATATTATTTTTTAGTCACTTAACATATACACAACAATTTTATATAAAAGTTTTCAAAAACCTAGATGTTGTTTATTTTTTATTTTGTTGAAATCATTTTTACAAAAAAAGTTTATCAATCACTTAACAACTTTATTTTACAACTGTTTATTCTCATAATACAACAGAAGTAATTTTTTTTTTTAAAGTGCAACAATTCCAAACTAGCCCTAAAACTTACATTGGCCTAAATGTTATCAAGTTTACCTTTAGTTGCAGGTGTGAAGTTATATAGAGACGTTCATGTGAAATCGATCATGTGCCTTACAAAAATTCTTTTGTTATGAAAAAGGGGAACAGCTAGTGGCTTCGCCACAACAATCCTTCTTTTTAGGATTGTGAAGACTCACAAAAACATTTTAACTTCTTCTAATTAGGGATGGCAATTCTAACCGTTAAACTCGATAACCGTCCGAACGGATTGGATTTGGGTATGAGGAAAAACTATGAATATTATTCGGTTATGGTTTTAGATATGGTTATAGGAATCCCCAATCCGTATCCGTATCCGTCTCAGAATCTGAACCAAATAATATATAATATAATTATTCATAATACTAAAGTATTAAAGTACACACACACATGTGTATATTCATTATTCACCAAATCCCTGTAAATACAAAAATTACATTATGTGAGTTGTATTTTATGGGAAAGTTCATAAGTTTTGATATGAATCAAAATCTATGAGAATTCAATGGTACTTATGGGAGATATCAAAGATCAGCCAACATTATCAATGTTTAACTTTAGTTTTTATGCTCCACAAGATCCATTCATTAAATCATTTTATACATCAAATATTTAATGACGAAATTAATATTTACTAAATTATCATGCGTTAATTGAATGAATATATTTTTTTGTATCGACAAAGATGGATAAAACCGTTAACCGATGGGGAATCCGTCATCCAGTGGGTATGGTTATGGATAATACCCAATGATTAATTTGTGGTTATGGATATGATTAATTTTCATGGTTATAGGGATGGATATAGTATTTCCGTCTCCAAACCAAACTGTTACCATCCCTACTTCTAACTATCATCGTGTGAGTCACGGCTTACAAAAACTCTAAACTTCTGTACAATCATACTAAAAAATATTAACAAATATGCTATATTTTCGAGGGAATTGTTATTGGTACTTAAAAAATCTCATTTTACACTTCAAACTTTCTATATTTGGAAAGAAAAATATACTTATAAGGAGTGTAGAATTAGATTTTTAGAGTGTCAATAACATTTCTTATTTTCTAAATAGGTCCGAAGATAAGTGGGACCAAGGTATGAAATAAGGAAAGATAAAGAGTGAGATTGTCATGCACGTGTGTACCTTGTGGAAGTTGATGTTGTCGTCAAAAGGCACAAAGAAGCCAAGCCTGGTGGACCTGAGCCGAGTGATGGTGTTTCTACAAACAGGCAACAGCACAAGAGCCATGTTGAATTTCAAGGTCTCGCCAGCACCTTTGGCCGTGAGAAGGCAATAACCCATTATCTCAAAAGCACTTTTTTGCTTGTACTGTATGAATTTCCATGTGAAGAGCGCAATCATAATGCAAAACCACAATGTCAAAATCCAGACTCTCCTCCAATTTTCCTGCAAATAATAGATTAAGTTGGTGCTCATTTTGCGTATTGGACTTCTCCTTCTCAGCCCTTGGAGGCTCTGGCTTAGGGCTTGGCTCGTGTAGCTTAGTGCTTGGCTGTAGTTTAAGTACGTATCTTTTTGTAGTAGAAGCGTCTCCAATTGCCATAACTGCATCAACATTTTCACTGTCGTCATCATCATCCAAGTTATAAACAACAAAACCATCAGAGATATATTTTTTTTCCTAGACAAAGTTAGAACTCGAACCCAGTCCGATAGCAAAACCATACCACTTTGGACAAACTCGAGATATTGAAGATGACGGAAAAGGATCCTCGCCAGATCATTTTCTTAGGGATCCTATGAATTCCGTGATCTTACCCGTTAATCGTATATCATGCGGTTAGAAATTATTTTAAAATTTAAAATTTAAAATTAAATATGAATAATACTTAACAAAAATTGACCGCACGATGTTCGATGAATATATGAAATTATGAAATCTCTGAAAGAATCCAGCGAGATACTTTTCCGAAGATGACTACAATGCAATGCAAGAAAGATTTCAGAAATGTGCACGATGTCAACTGATAACCCCACACGCGTGCCTACGTGTTTGAGTGAGATTTAAGCATAGAAGTAGAAGGTCCACGCGCGAACATAACTACGTGTGAATGTCAGAATGGCACTCGCGCCAAGTGTAGTAGGTGAGGATTATTTCAACGTGTATGATTAAATTACGTTAACATCATCACAAGATTATGATGTTTAATAGTCGCATCTTTTTCAATCATTCGAATACCTCCTCTAAGTTTGGTTCGGTTAAATATTTTTCTGTATTTAGATGTAAATAAAAGAATAGTGTTTTTATTTAAGATAAAAGAAAGGTGTTTGAAGCAGTCATGAAATGCTTTTTAGAATGGAAAAGATGCATGGTTGGATGACGTATTTAATTACCAGCTTAGGAAAAAATTTGAGAAAAAGGGAACCTGATAATTAGAGTGTGCATCTTAATTTTAACTGTGACAGTGGCCACGGTAAGAAATAGTCGAGTGTAACTGATCAATGCCTTATTTGACATGTAAACCCAAATAATTAATTGAGAAAACTAATTTGCAAATTAAATTATAGAAGTTCATCCCTTAAGAAAGTGTAGTGGGATTTCCCATAGACTATATAGCTAAATTTTCTTAACCTTTGTAGTGTGGTATGAGAATTCTAACATTATTCAGGACGTCCTATTTATAATTCAAGTAATTTTCTTTTGATTATTCATATATCATTTTCCATTACAAAGTACAGTAAAAGTCGTACTACAAACAAAGACAGACTCCAAGATTTGGAATTTAATAATCTCTACGCTTATGGCTATCTAGAAATACATATATACAAGAGAAAAAAAAATGTCCAACTACAAGTTGTGCCGCACAAAGAAATTATATTTAGATATAACTAGGCAATTGGGGCCTACCTCAATGTAGCCAAGTCTTTCAGGATCCAACTCTTCCATGATCAAAGCTGCATATTCGTCTGCTTGTTCCTTCAATCTTGATAGCTTGTTTGCAGAAGCACTCAACATGATGATCTAACCATTAGAAATAAAATAAATACCAAATAAAATAAGAATTCTTTTTGGTAAAAAATAAAATAAGAATTTAAATCTTAATTTTCCATTCATCTCTTAATGTAGATAACATCGTTTGTTAAAAAAGAAATCTAAATTTTCCAGCCAACATTGACTTGATAGTTCACAGTAATTAAAATTTTTCAAATAACGACCGAATTACTTACCGCCAGAAATTGACTTAAAAACCCTCACCAACCCCATTGAAAACGATTAGACCATACCCAAAAATTTGGTAAGATCAGAGAATTAGAGATGCCATGGGTCCAATCTCAAACTCACAAAAATGTAAAGTCGTTTGTGCACTAGTTATCCCAACTAATAATGGAAAAAGATGCGTATGAACCAAGAAAAATGAGACATTTTAATCAATTCCTTTATTAAGTATTTGTTTAATTTAATTGTGGTAGTTAGTTTTGGAATTTTCATGGATTTATGGTCACCCAATCTTGCCTACCATGAATTATAATAAAGCAAATGACACCGTGTAGGCCATAAAAATATGAAACCACCAAAGAAGCTCATGCATGACTTGTCTGTTAGAGAGCTCAAATTTCTTGAATGATTTAGGTCGGTGCGTAGTTAGGCTAATTCATGAACATCATATATGTTATTATTTTAACATATATAAAATAAAAATATAATAAAATAAAAATACCTCTTTTACTTCTTCTTCTGTAATTCGACCGTCGTCATTCTTGTCCACCCTGTTGGAATATATAAAAATGAATTAAAATATTCACATATAAGTTTAAACTTATCAGAAAAGTGAAATACGACATCGGCGATTTGGCCGTATTTGTCCAAGTGTCTGCTTTAAATGAATATACAATTCAGGTTAAGTAAACAATTGACGAGCAATAATAGTAATTAGTTAATTAATTGATTAATGCCTACATGTCGAAGAAGATCTGGAGCCTCGAATCGAAACTTTGATCTGAAATTTGGGACCAAAACTCATAGAGCTCGTCCTTGCTGATTTTCTCAACCTTCAGTCTGCGTCTTCGACCCAACGCATCGAACAACTCCAACGCAAACTCCTTCGAATCTCTCATTCCTAAAAAAGAACAATCAAACGAAAACAACGTACATACAAAAATCAATAATGTACCAAAATTAACATAGTAATATTACAGAAGGCAGCAAACTGCCCGATCATTTTTTTTATCGCTTATTTTTTGAAACACGAATCTTTTTGGCAAAAATCTTAGTTAAATATATAATGTGCATATGAGTTGAAGTAGTTTTAGTAGTAGAAGTACCGATGCATTGAGGGAAATCTGCGCGGAAGAGATGGCCGTCTTTGGTGAGCTTGTTGAAATTGGTCTCCACTTCGTTCCAAGCATCGACGCCATTGGTCTTCGTACTATTATAGTTACCAATGAACCTTAATCCCCGAAGCGCTTTCTCAGCGCCGGAGCGAGTGCGATCGAGCTGTGCTCGCTGCCGCCTCAGAGCGCGAGCGGCCAGCGCCAAGTCAAACGCACCGCCTCCGCTGCCACCGGCTGATGCATTCTGAGAAGTTGAAGCGGAGAGAACTCTCGAGCTGTGGCTTTGGCTCCACGAAAACCTCCTCAGCTCGGCCTTGAGCTCTTGTGAAAATTGCTTTGCTTTGGCCAAGGCATCCGCTTTGAGCTCCTGAGAGAATTGCCGTATCCGACTGTTGGACGAGCTTCTCCGTATCGGGGATGGCGACCAAGAAGCTGAAACCGACGTCGGAGTTTCATTTCCGGTGCCTGTGAGCTCATCGATGTGAATGACGGTGGTGGGCTCGACGCTGCGGAGGACAATCGTGTTGTCATCTTGTAAGTCGAGAGTTACCTCGACGAACTCCTGATCCCTGGAGTTGGAGTCGTCGGTCATTGCCGGAGATGATGATCCGGCGCTGACCATGGACCTCTCTGGGACGGAGTCCGAAGCCCATCGGCGCTCGTGCCTCGGATAAGCCCTCATTGATAAAGAAAACAGAAAGATTTGTATATAATTTAAAGATGAGTAGGTGGTGGTGGTGGTGGTGTTTATAAGATTTGTGAAAATGAAGAGGTGAGGAGGGTGATGAGTGAGTTTTGTTTTGTTTGTTTTTTTTTTGTTAAAAAAAAAAAAAAAAAAGAACAAAAGAGGGAAGTCGTCGTCGAACGCGGTTTGCTCGGAATCTCAGGGAAAAGACGTACGCGGAGCGCAGCAATTAGACAGAGGAAAAAGAGAGAAGCAGACAGCTTTGGAGCAGAGAGGGCGAGAGAGGCAAAAGGACCTAATACTCCCCCGCAAGGGACAATACAATACAAAAACACCACCACGGATATATGGAATACACGTACACGTTTATATCTACTTTTATTTGTTTATCTTATTTAAATTGAAATTGGATGTGGCTGCGGTTTGTTTCAACGTGTTACACGTATCGTCTGTAATGGTGATTTGTTACACTACCAAAAAAAAAAAAAAAAAACGGTTTAAGAAAACAATTGATTGGTGCCCTTTTCAATTTCATTGAGCACATATATGTATTTGTGTTTTTAAGTTCCATTGAGCATAAAATTATCTCAAATGTGCATTTTGAACAAAAAAACACATTAAATTGTGTCTACAAAAAGGTGTATTGTGCCTGTCAAAATTTGAATACAAAGTTTGTGTTACTTTTTATGGATATTAGTAAGTATAATTTTTTATTAATGTATGAATGCACAAAAAACAGTTTTGTGCCCTTTAATTTGGAAAGGGATCCTCTCCGGATCCCTTCCACCTAATTTTTATGACCCACAAATTCAGGCCCTTGAAATTTGATCGAACGGCAAAAGTTATTATAATTTTTAATAGGACCCTCTGTTTGTAGCCATTGATTTAGTATATTTAAATCATTTGGTTTTATTAGCACAATAGTTCGTGTATTCCTTCACAAGTTTGGACACAATTATAATTTATACTTTAATATTAATTTTATTGGTCAACACCATACAATCCCACTCAGTATTAGAAGCAGCCTCACGCACACACTACTCAACCTTACTCTCTTTCATCTTTCTTTCCATTTACTTTCCTTTTCCACTCTACCTCCCTCAGATTCTTTCTCTCACCTTTGTCTCTTTGTCTCTCTCTCTCTCTCTCTCTCTCTCTCTCTCTCTCTCTCTCTCTCTCTCTCTCTCTCTCTCTCTCTCTCTCTCTCTTTATCTTTCCAATCCTTCTTTCTCTCTCTACCTTCTCCAGACAAATCGTGGAGGCTCTTGAGCTCTGTCATTGCCAGAATCCCCTAGCATAAACCACTTGCACGTGATGGAGGAAGGTTTGGGAAGATCAGGTCTGGTATGGAGAGATCAGGGGAGGGGGTGGGTCGGGTTTGGGAAGATTAGTGGATGTAGAGCCTGAATCGGAAATCACGTTGGGATCCGAGTCTGATAGGGATGGTTCATAGGAGGGAGGCGCATCGGGTTAGAGGTGTTGATGAGGGAAGGGCAGGTGCGAGTTGGAGAGAGAGTGAGGAGTTGTAGACCTCATGAATATTTCATCGCCATCATCGAAGCCTTCGAATTCGGAGTCAGCCGCACATTTGATGTTGTATTTGTGTTTCTGGAACAGTTGGATATCTTTTTGCTGAATTGTGATGTTTACTATAATTTTCCACTCAAGACATTGTAAACACAAACTTTTTTTAACGAATGAAACGAGAACACGTGTACAACTAGTAGACTTGTATTAATGAATTTGTAGGGTTACAATCTATGTTCAATTTTCCTCTAATTTAGTCTTCAAATTTGATGTAGATTTGTAGGTTGTTGATCCAAGGGTCGCGATGACTTGATCTTAGACAAACGATTGAGTGATTACTTCAAGTTTTGAGCTTGAAACGATGCGTGGATAGTCTTCACCTCAGGTTTAGGGCTGTGACAAAGGGAGTGTTGATGTAGAATTTTGTTGATTCAAGGGTCTTAGGGACTTGATCTTGAACTGAACGTCGTTACAAGTTTTAAGCTTAAAGCAAAGTCTTGAAGGAATCGGCGCAAGTGCTTGTTGATTCTTCAAGGGAATGCTTCGGCTTTGGTCAAATAAAAGCTTCGGCTTTAGTTGTGCATTCTTTGAAGAGAGCTTTGACAACTTATTAGTCTTCAAAGATTTGGTAGATGTTCTTCTGGATGTGAGAATTTCGACCCTTCAATGTAAAAATTGTCGACCCTTATGTGTGTTTTGGGACCTTTTATTTATAGACTTCCAAAGCCATGCCTTTGGATGGATTTGGCTTTGATTTGTGTCTTGATTTGTCCATGGGAGAATTTAGGCATGTTTTGTATCTTAATTTCAGCCACTTTTCCTCATATTGGGCAAAATTTATAGGCATCATTGCTTATTTTGTGATCAATCTTCAATTCTTGCTTGTTTTGTGAAGATGCATTAGCTTTATTTCCAGTTTTGAGAGCACTTTGGGCCCCTTGCCGATTTTAAGGGATATTTTCTCCCTTTTGCCGAATTTTGGGAAGGTTTTGTACTTCCTTTGCTTGATTTGTGCCACATGTCATTGATGACTTGTCCATTTGTGATGAGTCATATGCCACGTGGAGCTTTGTGATGCATCATTTGCATTTTTATATGTCTACAAATGCCCCCACTTGAAGGCGCGTTGTAGGTATGTGCTTGTCATATGTAGGAAACGTGTTTTGAAGTCCTGCAATGTGAATGTTCTAACTCAAGGGTCGTTGAGACTTGATCTTGAATTAGAACGCTTCTTCAATGACCGTAAAGGCATATTTCTTGAACAAGGCCGTTGAGGCTTGATCTTGATTTGAAATGATAATTGTCTTCAAGGGCCGTAGAGGCTTGATCTTGAAAGGAATGAAAATTTTTCTTTAAGGGTCGTAGAGGCTTGATCTTGAAACAAATTTTGGAAATGGATAAATCGGCACATAGTTATTGTGCGTATTGATTTTCCATAATTTTTGGCAAAATACATTTGGTGTATTAGAGGCTTGATTTTTTTTCCTTGTGGTGGTGGGAAAAATGTTTTTTCTTTTCTTACGCAGGAACCTCCTTCAATTTTGGTAATGAGGGTGATTTCCTTCAAAGTGTTGGAAAGTTTTGGTGATTTCCTTCAAGGTTTTGGAAACATTGAATGTTTGTCCTTGGGTAAGTAGTATTTGCATTTTTTTCCTTTCCCCTTTCTCTTTTTCACGGCAAGGAGGGTATTTTTCTCCTTGTTTTGGGAAACTTGAAGACTTGTCCTTGGTTTGGGAAACACGTCATCTGACTTGCATGCCACGTTTGAGGTTGATTTCTCTTCTGGAAAATTCTGTAAAAATATCGAAAATGTAGCTTTATCTTTTATCTTTTCAGGTATATATCGCACACCACTAGGAAAAATCGAGAAAGCCTTCAACTCGTCATTTTCCCACAGTTGCGCAGTTCTGATGGGAAAACAACTTTTGCAGGATTAACTTTGAGAACTGGAACGTTTGGCTTTAAGAAAAATTATTAAATTTGGATACAATGATCATCAGCCTCTTAGCTTCCTTCTCCAATTGGTCTTGCATCAAAACATGTCCGGAAAGTCGAATTATCATAAAAAATGTCCTGCTTGCACAGATTGGCTGAAACTTGCCATTTTTTGCTTGTAATTTGCTTCCTTATTTTGGTTGGAATGTACTTCCTTGTTCTGATTTTCCTTTTGCTATTTGGTATGTATTCTCCCTATAGCATTAGGAAGTAATTGGCTCTTATTTATAAGACAATTGGATGTTTGTTTTTGCCATTACACACCATTGCCGTACACTGCCACTATGCTTGCTGCTGTGCCGTGCCTTATTTCTGCTTGTTGCCATGTGTAATTGCTGCTTGGAGCTTGTTGCAGTTCATCACTTTTTACTGTGTGGTGCTATGTAAAATACTGCAGTGGGGTTTCACTGTGTAGTGCCTTTTGGTCATAGTTTTCCCTCGATGGTGACATTACTGTGCAGTGCAAGAAACTGTTTACGTAATCCTTGTGGGGTTGCGTAGTGCAATTGCGTACCATTTTGGTTTTCTTTGATATTGTAGCATGCTTCGAAGGACCGTCTTGTAGTTGCCCTCTTTGATGTGTTGCTTAAGCTGTGGCTGATTTCTTGTAATTGTTGTGACTTTGTCATTGTCATCCTTCAATGCTCACGAGGTTTGTCTCGCATGTCTTTTGCTTTGGTGAAGCAATTTTTTTTTTCTGGCCGTCCCACTCTTATGCATATGTTGCCTTGTTTGTTTTGTTGTAGGCATGATATTTTGCAAGTGCTTTAAGAGCAATACCATCACCATTCTTACGAAGGAAAGTGATTCGCAAGATAGGGGAACGATGTTGAAGCTTTGCACACCGTTGACTGGCCTAAGGCGCTTGTTCTTCTTGGAAAAGACAACTCGATGCATATCAAGTTGTGGTTTCCTGAAATATCTTAGGAGATGACAGATTTTGGTTCACCAAATAGGAAGAAGAAGGAGTGTACATCAAGGATTCTTATCTTGAATCCTTCACCATGTTCGTGACAATCCATCGGCTTCGTTTGAGCTTCTTGGTGATCGCATCCATAGCGGAGCTATAACTTGGAATAACGCCTTGTCGATTACTGAAGAAGCCGTCTTTGTTTTTTTTGCTCATTTTGTAATACAACTTTGTAGCTGAATTCTTCTTCTAAAGAAATAAAGTATTCACATTCTTGAATTTGCTCTTTATTCTTCAAAGTATTTGTGTTTTTGTTGATGATGTGATTGTACTTGAAGTTTTGAAGTTTCAAGTTGCCTAGGTACCTTCAGTTGAGGAGAGATCAAGTCATGACGTATTTTAAAGGAATGATGAATTTTTTTTTTATGGTTTTGACAGTTTTGATGGTGATTTTGATGACGCTTTTGATTTTTGATTTTGCCGTACACAGTTTATGCTCTTGCGGGCCAGGAATGTTGGGTGTCGCCTTTTAAGCTGGTGCGAACAAGGAGCATTGTGCCGTATGCAGTTTAGGCTTGTGTAGGCGAGGAGCTTTATGATGTTTGTAGTTTAGGTTCGTGCAAGCGAGGAGCTTTGTGCCATGTATAGTTTAGGCTCGTGCAGGCGAGGAGCATTATGCCGTATAGAGCATTGTACCATATGCAGTTTAGGCTCATGCACGCAGGGAGCATTGTGATGTGTGCAGTTTAGGCTCCTGCAGGCGAGGAGCATTTTGGTGTGGATTTGGTTTAGGGGTAGTAACGCTTCAAGAATCTACGATTGATGGGGCCAATCTTTAAGCCGTTTTCCTTCATGATTAAGTAGGCACTGTA